ATTCTGAAATGAAATGGGTAATTGGAGAAATTCTGAGAAATGAAAATGGAATTGGAGAAATTCTGAGAAATGAAATGGTAATTGGAGAAATTCTAGGAAATGAAATGGTAATTGGAGGAAATTCTAAGAAATGAAATGGTAATTGGAGAAATTCTGAGAAATGAAATGGTAATTGGAGAAATTCTAAGAAATGAAATGTAATTGGAGAAATTCTGAGAAATGAAATGGTAATTGGAGAAATTCTGAGAAATGAAATGGTAATTGGAGAAATTCTAAGAAATGAAATGGTAATTGGAGAAATTCTAAGAAATGAAATGGTAATTGGAGAAAATTCTCGAGAAATGGGTAATGATTCTGAGAAATGAAATGTAATTGGGAAAATTCTAGGAAATGAAATGGAATTGGAGAAATTCTAGGAAATAAATGGTAATTGGATTCGTGAAATGGTAATTGGAGAAATTCTAGGAAATGAATGGTAATTGGAGAAATTTCTGAGAAATGAAATGGTAATTGGGAAAAATTCTAGGAAATGAAATGGGAATTGGAGAAATTCTGAGAAATGAAATGGTAATTGGAGAAATTCTGAGAAATGAAATGGTAGAAGAAAATTCTGAAGAAATGAAATGTAATTGGAGAATTCTGAGAAATGAAATGGTAATTGGTTCTTTGGAATTGGAGAAATTCAAGAGAAATGAAATGTAATTGGAGAAATTCTGAGAAATAAATGAATTGGATTCTGAGAATGAAATGGTAATTGGAGAAATTCTAGAAATGAAATGGTAGAAATTCTGAGAAATGAAATTATTGGAGAAAATTCTAGAAAATGAAATGGTAATTGGAGAAATTCTGAGAAATGAAATGGTAATTGGAGAAATTCTGAGAAATGAAATGGTAATTGGAGAAATTCTGAGAAATGAAATGGTAATTGGAGAAATTCTAAGAAATGAAATGGTTAATGGAGAAATTCTAAGAAATGAAATGGTAATTGGAGGAAATTCTGAGAAATGAAATGGTAATTGGAGAAATTCTAGAAATGAAATGTAATGGAGAAATTCTGAGAAATGAAATGGTAATTGGAGAAATTCTAGGAAATGAAATGGTAATTGGAGAAATTCTAGGAAATGAAATGGTAATTGGAGAAATTCTGAGAAATGAAATGGTATTGGAGAAATTCTGAGAAATGAAATGGTAATTGGAGAAATTCTGAGAAATGGAAATTGGAGAAATGAAATGGTAATTGGAGAGAGAAATTCTGAGAAATGAAATGGTAATTGGAGAAATTCTGAGAAATGAAATGGTAATTGGAGAAATTCTGAGCAGAAAGAAATAATTGGAGAAATTCTGAAAAAATGGTCTGGAGAAATTCTGAGAAATGCTGGAGAAATTCTAAGAAATGAAATGGTAATTGGAGAAATTCTGAGAAATGAAATGGTAATTGGAGAAATTCTGAGAATGAAAACGGAGAAATTCTAAGAAAATTTACTGGAGAATTTCTAAGAAATGAAATGGTTCTGGAGATTTCTAAGAAATGAAATGTATCTACAAGTTCGACCTCCCGTTTTATTCAGTAAAAATGAAATTTGACTCAGTTTAGTAAAATAGTAATAATGATTAGGAAAAATCGGTTTGCACTATAATCCAGGCAAAATTTTGAGTCCAAAAAAAGGATGATAATGAGAATAAAGATAATGATAATCATAATAATGATGATAATGAAAATAACAATGATAATAATAATAATGGTGATAAAAACAATAAAGATAACGATAATATGACAATTAATGATGATAGTAATGATAACAATAACAATGATAATGATTATAATCATAATGATAATTTAAAAAAAATTAGAATTGTAGTAATAACAAAGATAATGATCATCAAGATAATGTTAATTATACTAATATATTTTCAAATAAAGATAATAATGACGATATAAAGTAGATGATAATGATTATAATGATAAACAGTAATGAAAATAATAATAATGATAATAATAGTAACAATAACAATAACAGTAATAATAACAATAATAATAATTATCATGATAATAATAATAATGATAATAATAACAGTAATAATAATAACAATATCAAAAATAGTAAATAATAACAATAATAATTATAATGATAACCATAATAATAATAATAATAATAATAATAATAACATGGATAACCATAATAATGAATAATAATTATGATGATGATAATAATAATAATAATAATAATAACATGGATAACAGTAATAAGAGCAATATCTATCTGTTCATACACATCTCAATCAAATTCGCTCGATGTACATATGAAATTATCAGAAAATGGTTCTTAATCTAAAAAGGTACCATGTTTGATTGACGTTCGCGCGAATCACCGGCGAATCATCTTAATCACTCAATATTCTAAATATAGATGGCGATGTCTATAGGATTAGCGAAATCTTGTGTGTTGAATGAGCTCCCGAGTATATTCGTGATCGTTATTTCACTAATAACATATCAACA